AGAATTATTGTTAAGGATAAGAGGAGGGAAAACGATCTCTCAGACCTCCTAGAAGAGGAGAAACAGAGGACATAAAAGAACACAAAAATCAAAGTAATGTAGCCTCCCAGTTCCTCTGTAGAAACAAGTAAAGAAATGTCTCTAAAAGAATTATGGGCCTTAACCCAAAGTGAAGGCAAAAATATCCTATCTAAAAGATTGCCTGTATCATTTTCATAAACAGTCCTTCATTATGTCAGGTGTGATCTGCTACTAGTGAAGTTTTCTAGCCAACACACTAGAAAAACTGACACTGGTTGTTTACTTTCGCTATGTTCTGTTTTTCCTTGTCTTGAGTTTTTTCTTCCGGACTTTTTGCTTACTCTTACAAATGTTACATACTGTTCGCTCTTCTTCTCTTAAAGGTAGCCAGTGGTTTACAAATGTTACTCTTGGTTTTAAATCATAAATAGATCTTTTACCATCTTTGAGATAGGCAACTTTTGCTACTCGTTGCCATGCAGTGGTACAATTCAAGGAGACATTCTGATTATAGATTCAAGCACTTTGCGAGTTCAAACAGTGGTCAGAAAGGCACACCTTGGTTTGGTTACTGCATTGACATTCTCCCATGATTCAAGGTTTTCTAACAATATGTCCAGATTGCTTTGATTTTATTTAATAACAAATGTTGCACTCCGTTGTAATAATGGATGCTGATGAATTCATTTTTGATTGCAGGGCATTGCTTTCTGTGTCAATGGATTCAAGTGTAAGGATGACCGTAATTAAGGACAAGAAGAAAAATGGTACGTGTCATCCCATCTCTCATATTTTGCTACTGTTGCCATAGTTAACACCTACAGCCGCATGTCAGGCAGATATTTTTAATGTGGACTGTGATTGGGGACCCATATAAAACAGAGTTCGTAATTGGTATTAACAACAAAATTTCAGTGTCTTCTGATGTTCCACCTGATTGGTGGTTTTTTCTTCTGAAATAAGCCTGACTGGTGGTTTTATTGTCGTCATATGATCCAAACAAGACTAATTTGCTTGACACGTAAAATATAGCAAGCGTTAGACTGACTAGCCACAAACGTGTTAAGAGTAGATGGTAATGGTGAAGGGTGAAGCCGGACTATGGATGGTGGGGGCTTGTGAAACTTAATTTAAGTGGCAAACTGGTAGTATAATAAGTAATATTTTTTATTAGCTTACTAATTTTTGCCCCAAATTACAAAAGAAATATAAGATAGGCATAGATGTTAATAATTTATTTGTTTGAGTGGTATAGTTCATTAAAAAAAGTTCATCAAATACATAATGGAAGAGTAATATTCAAATCTTTTAAGTATTTTAGTCTGTCCCTGGTAATAGTATTTGGAATCTGGAGCTGGTTGACTGGCCCAACGTTTCTTTCTTTTCTTGAATGCAAGCGTAATAATGTTCGTTAACTGGGAGTTGAAATCACGTTAGCAGGAACAGAGCCACAAAAGGAAGTAGAAGAGCCCGTTTAGCTCTATCGTGTTCTGGAGTACTCCGGTGTTTACCCATTTGACATCATAGCTTTTATAATTTCACAACGGTTGGGTGGCCCAATGTTATCATAATGGCTTTGATCGTCCAGCAATTAATGTTATTGTTACGGAACTTCGTATTTAGAATTTCTTTTGGAAAGTAAACTGATCATTCTCCCCTTTTTTGGTAAACATGCAGGAGGAATGAACTTGTGGGTCATTATATTCATTGTAGTGCTTGCAGTTACTGTGTATCTTATGAGGAACAAAGGAATCATACCTTAGTTCAAGAATGCCATGGACACAGTTTGACAAACTTAAGCTGCCAAAAAGGTTGATAATTAGAAACATTGACATTTTGTAGGCCATCATGGGGACTCCATGATGGTTGGCCAGAACGAGAACATGCTTTGCGTTCTAGCAGCTAAATTACATATTCGTTTGGGTATTTTGTTTACATATCTTGTACAGATTCTGGCCTCTAAATGAAAAGCTGCCCTTATGATTTCATCTAGATAATTCCGGATGATCAATTTGGAGATATAGACTGCTTTTTCTACAAATATAAACTTATGTGATTTATGCTTTTACTTTCAAACAGTTACCACATGATGCACATGCCATTCTCATGCAAAAGTTTCTGGTTCATAAGTGGAAATAAAACAGAGGGTTACAGAGGGTTGCCGGTATCTGATCTTCATTCACTAAAATTAAAGTACTTCCAACGGGGGAACATTTAATGTTTCCGGTTGTTAATAAAATTATGCAGTCACAGTCTACTGGTTAGAATCAATGTTTCCGGCAACTGATATAATCTCAGAAACCATGGGAAAGGTCCCTCTTTTGGGAAAAGAACTTTCGCCTGTTCAAGAAATTGGGAAAAACATTCTCCCCCGTATGATTAGTCAAAAAAGCAGGATCATTGGCGCTTGCGCTGGTAAAGGGAATAGCCAACAAGGGCAGACATTAAGAAAGTCCATAGTACCTGTTAACATAAGCAGCAATAACAGGGGCCTCAGGAGATATAAGATAAAAAATATCCTCTTAAAGGGACTTGGGTTAAAAAATTGGAAACCATTAATTCATGTTCCTTTCTTTAAAATAAAAATTAACCTATAGTACTTTTATGGAATAATAATAAGAATGCACTAAAATGATTTGCTGGAATGTGGATATTTTATTGTTCTCTCAATTCAAGGTAGGTAAATCTCTTGTTCTTACCTAGCCAAGAACTTGACTTCGATTTCAAGGAATGGAAGATGTTATTAGTGTAATTAGTTTGACTATGAATGAATACAGCTTTTAAATTTTGTGTATCAAGATATCCTATTAATTAATGTGAAGAAAAAAGTAGGAATTGAACTAAATTTAGCCATGATGATATGAATCTTGTCAACAGAACCATCAACAGGGAAAAATCCAAATATAAGCAGCTGAACTAATAAATAGAAATGGTATTAGCCATACGGTATTGATGGTATGCCACCGTTCAAGCCTCTTAATCCGGGACTGCATGTCTTCAAGTACGCTTTCTATCGAAGAAGCCTCCCTACTTGGTAAAGACTCAGAAACCGAATTATTGCTACCCTGTTTGTTCCACAAAATAGTCACTAAATAAGAATATACCCTTTAACGTTAGAAACATCAGAGAATCAAGATTAAGATACTTTTGATCTTTCAAGATGAAGTAAAACATTTATAAAATGTGCAGATCAAAGTATGATGCATATAAAAATTCCATCTCTGATGTAAGATATCTAAAGTTCAACTATTTGGGATCTCTTTCAGGATGCTGATAGTACAGCATAAGATATTGTGATACCAACAAATCTACAGCACAAAAAAGTTATCTTTTCACTCAAATTGCTTGTGATCTGCAAAAACTATACATCAGTAGAGATTTTTTATCTCAAACAGCCGAAAGTAAACAACCTGAGATTGTATGTACTCAACAAGCTCCTGCAACCTTGCTGCTTGCTGGGTGTGAATTCCAGTCGAGCTCCTTTCTACCGAAGGTAATCTTTCCAAAATTATTTGAAGATAACTCTTACAATGCAATTGAAAGAGTCAGTGGTCAGTTTAAATATCATGTCAATAAGCACAAGCGATAAGAGAATGTATAAGGTACAACAGCAAGCACACAACAGCCAATATTCAAGTACGCGGATGAAACCTTTGTAGTATATGAACCATCAAGTTTAAGAGCTGAACCAGCTGAAGCCACAGCCTCTTTATTAACCCCTTTAATCTGTAAGTAAGGACTTGGGACATCTTGAAGATGATCAACCTCAATAAGAATCTAAAAGAACATCAGGATCAGATTTAGAAGCAATCTAAGAGAGACAGCTCTTGGAATTCTACTACGATACTAGGAATAGTTGAATGAGACAAAGCAGATATGATAAGGCAGGAGAAACAACCACTACATAGAAAAACCACAGTATGTGGTGAGATGCTGACCTCATTGTTCCAGTAATTAGCAAACCGATCCCAAAAAGTATGATTCTTCAGCTAAGTAATAAGTCTAAATATTGTAAGCAAAAGGTAGGTTTACCTTTCCATCTTGATAGATAAATGCAGATGCTTCAATGTAAGCCACAGCTTGATACCTAGATCAGAAAAGAATTGTGGAGATTATCGATTGTGGTAAAATTCATGTTGATTTGAAAATTTTTAGAGAAAATAAATTTATTTGAAAATTATAAAATTCTAACTGTTAAAGTCAACTGGATAATTTATTCAGTATGAGCTGAACATAACAAGCAAACTTAAACACAATACAGGATTTTTACACCAGTTTTCCTTCGAACTGCCAAAATTGATCAGTACCAAGGAGTTTCCACAAAGTTATTTTGCATCTGGAGAGGCTATCCACAAGACAGCCTCATGTTACACAGGCAAAATCAAGCAAATTCTTCTCAAGAATTAGATTTTCATACCATTTTTTCTGAAGAATTGATAGATGATAAAACATTCAAAAACCTTAAATTGATAGAAAATAATCTAATTTTCTCGTTGTTTTTTAGATGAAACCAATTTTATCAATAACACTCTAAACAATTTTGATTCAACAACTAAGAACAAGAATAAGACTAAATAATCATGAAACAGAGAAGTTTTACTAAACGTGGAAGAATAAATAGATTATCAAAACTCTATTTTGTATGTGTGCCTTACCCAAGATTAAGAAGACCAGCAACCGTACTAATGCTTATGTCAAAATCCACTTTGGGCTGAATGATGAAGTTACCTTCTCTTATTGGCTGACAAATAGGAATTTAAGAAAGTATAAAAAGTCCACCAACTGCAGTCATTAAATAAAATCGAAGTGCCTTCCACAAGCTAAAATAGATAAATTTTATGCAAACTCCAAATCTAACCTCCCGAATCAGTAACGCAAATCTGCCCTCACATATTCTGACGCGTATGCAGTCACTCTCTGACAACTGCCCATTAGCAGGAAGTCCCGGAAGCCTTAAATATATATCAATAAAATTCTGAACAGAACTGCAGAACTTTGCAGAGTCAAGGATGTTGAGAATATCTTGATAATCCACCTGTTATTTATTTGGAACAGGAGTATGTCAATGGCAAAACACATCACATGATTCCAGCACAGAAGCACTAGTGGACTCTTACTTGTTTGTCACTCTTTAAAACAAATAGTGAACTCTCAGGAGAAAGCACAGGATCAAAATCATTTCGAATTTTGAGCTGCATTTATCATGAAAACACTCTATCAGTGTTAAACTAGCAATTAGAAATGAATATTCACATGCAAAGTGTTGAGAATCAGCAAGTTAAATCAAGGAAGTCTATTGTCTGATTTTTAAGGATACACGGCCATATATAGGGGGTATGATTTTATTCCTAGAAATTGGGGTGTATACTTGTATATTTTCTGTTGTATAGCTGTAACTTCTTCTCCCTTTCTTAGGCTGTACTGTGTCTATAAAAGAATACTTGTTATCTTCCTAATTTGTGAAAAATACAATCTTTTCCATCATCTGATTGACATTGTATCAGAGGCAACATAATTGGCCCTGTTTCTTCTCTGTTTGTTACGTTTTTCCTCCTCCCTAATTTTTTTTCTTTCTACCGTCCT